GCTCCTGAGCTGAGTTCAGGTGCAAAGATCTCAGAGTAGCGACCATTGGCTTTAGTGATGGCGAGCGCAGAGTCAAAAGCATCCATCAGCGAAGTGTCCTATACATCAAGAATTAGGGTAAGCCATGCACCTATCTTATTGGAATATGGTTAGAAGCTGATAGCCTACCCTGCAATCTTCAACTCCAAAGGGCAAAGAAGAAGGCGAAGAAGAACAACAGGACGAGGAGCAAGCCCAGCAGCAAGGAGCCAAGAATAGGGCCAAAAGCAAGTAGCTCAGGAGTAGTCTCATGCTTGTGCTGCTGAACGTGATGTGTTGTTTTTGTTAAAAATATGACGCTTAAAAAGTTCTCGCTAAGTACTTTATCAGGAAGGTTGCTTCAATCACCTTCACTCATCCTGAATAGTGGTCGAATTCACTAGGGCCATGGAGGGTCATGGGAAGAGATCCTTAAGCTGCACCCATGCCACAAGTCACGTGACTTATGTAATAGCTAACAGATCACTGTAGATGGTGCACCCACACTGGACACTGGTGAAAACTATGCAAACTGGCTGCAGGCAAGTGCATCTGCGCGTGGGATGCGCAGCGGTGCAGTGTTGAATGCGCACGAAATGCACAGCTTCAAATTTGAATATAATAATATATTTTGAAAGGGTGCAGACAGAGCGGTGAGAGTGCAGGCCTGTGCAGTCCTTGCACACAGGAAGTGCATGGCGCTCAAGGTGGATGTGGCCATGCGCATGGGAAGTGCATGGCTGTAGTCACCACAGTCTAGGCGTTGCCATAGTCAACATTTGTTTGTGTTGGGAGGGATAGGTATGGTGATGAACAAGTGGATTGTGAGGTTTGGTTCACTCATCAAGGCCAGCAGCACAAACAAACCAAATGCTATGTTTGTGTGACTCAGGAAGTGCATCTCTCTTTGTTTTTGCTTCTCTTGGGCTCATCCACTCCTTTCCAGGCGCAAAAGTGAAGCTTGTCCAGGAACAGCAGCTCAACAAGGAGAATGACAATGTGGAGAACAACAACAAGGAGAACAACAACAAGGAGAATGACAATGAGGGCCACAGCTTGTGTGAAGCAGGCTTTGCAATCATGGATGAGGTCAATGACCAGGCCAAGGGTGGCCACCCTTGCCTCTATCAACATCAGGAGGTACCACAATGATGACCCATGGGCTTTAGTGGACCTGATGGGCCAGGCGACAGAGGAAGAGCTCAATGAACATGAGCTCTTCCTCTGAGCTTCTTCTGTTTTCCTTACACTCGCCTTGCATGGGACCCACAGGCAGCCCAGCATATGCCTGGTGCCAAATGACAGTGTCCTTTTGATGTGTCTTGGTAATTGAAAAATTGAGCTTCTTCTGTTTATAGCTTTCAACAAGATAACTTTGCACAAGTCAGCTCACTACTATGGCCACTTCCTTTGATTGGGTGATGGGATTGCCTTGAGTGTCCCTGAAGAGTGTCCAAAGGTATGATGAGCTACTATGTTTGTGACACAATGATTAACTCTCTCTCTCTCTCTCTATTTGCTACAGCTTCCATTTATCTTCAACAATATGAGACACATGATCCTGGATGACAAGACACAGCACATCATGATAGGAAAGGTGTCTCAATTCTTATTAATCACATGTGCAAGGACAGCAGTGAATGACCAGTGGTGAACAACCAGTGGCAAACAACCAGCAGGTCAGTGGCCAACACCATGCCTCTGTTTATCATGTCCACAGTGCAGAGTCATGTGGGGAATGTGTTGTGACAGGGAGGTGGAATGGAAGTGTGATTGGTTGCCCTGAAGTGCAGAAGATGCAGGTTCACCATGAACACATATCCACTGCAACTGCGTGGAATCTCATCAAACACAAGTATGCACACCTGGTGACATGTGCTGATGTTGATGGAGACCCTGAGCAAGTAGATTCCCATATTGATCCCCAAAGGACTTGTCAATACTCCTTGAATCAACATCATTGCCCAATTCCTCATCAGTGCCCAGTTTCCCTCACCCACAGATTGTTCCTTATAGGGTCATGACATTGCCCACATCAAGAACACAGTGTGCTTGTCTTCCCCTCCCCCTCCCTTTCAGCCCTCCATCAATATTCATGAGTGAATTCAGCACAACTGGTTCAATGATAAGGAGGTGATACACAGCAGCCACCACACCCCACCTCCAACACCTCCATGTCCAATCACCCAGTAACTACAATGGAACACAAACATGGGGATGGTGTGTGTGAGCATGTTGCCTATTGGGAATTAAGGGATTGGAGGCTTACCCAGGTGACCTGTTTTGTTTGTTTTTGATAAATAAGTTGAATAATTGGCAAGAACCAACTGGTGCCAAGTTTACCCACAGTGCCAAGCCACACAACCACTGGCCAGCTGACAAGATGTAGCCTACTTGCTAACCACTGTGCAATCACAAACCAAGTGCAATTTCAGATTCAGGTTGGGATCTGGGCTGCACTCCTGTCCCACTGTGACAGGGCTGCCCAGCTCCAGGCACAACACTCATGCTCATGATTGAGTAATTCTTGCTATTGTGGTTGTCACAGTTCATGTAAATTCTTTCTATTCTAACAATAAATTGCACAAGGAGGTCCCCACCCACCAACCACTGAGGAGAATGGACCAGCACCAGGCCTGGCCAGACCTCTAGTGGATAATTGGGAGAAAAGATGAGTACTGCTGGATGTGACTGGGGACAGTAACAAATCTACATGTCAGGCCAGTTGGCACTGGGGGAAATGAAGGCAGACAGGTGTCACTAATTCACTGGGGCGCCTGTATACAGAAATGTATCACCATGTTGACTGACCAAGGCTGGGCTCAACACACTCAGTTGGGTTCTTTGTTGGTAGGTCAGACAATTCTCTTTTGTAGTGATAAATTAGCCAACAATTAAAAAACAAAAATGGGACCAAAATGTGTACAACGATAGTGGAGGGATGTGTCTCACTTGTTGAAGGACTTGACGCCCTTCTCCAGAAGCAGCTTGATCCTAATTGATTGAGAAAGAACAGAAAATGATTGGTTCGTGCGCAGGTTAGAAGAACGCTCGAGCTAACATATAGAAGAACGTGGGCTGTAAGTACTTGGCAAGCACGAGTGGCTGATCGACGTCAAAATTGACGGCCCACTTGGGCAGGTAGCCGCAGGGGTCGCATTCGCAGATGTAAG